TCAGCTGTAGCTGAAGTGGAGCATCAGGAAGAACACTCACCACGTCTACATCTTTACAATTATCAGAACTACTACCACCTGTACAAATTGCCATTAACAATCTATCAAACGGAGAAGAGCAAAGTTCAAATAGATGAACAATACCTTTCTTTCACATTTTACACCATTACATTTCAAGGAAGTTGACAAACCAAACACTACTAACAATACCATATTCAAAAATTAGATTCTATAGCTGCACAGAAAGAAATACATCCGTAGATTAAGATTGAGATCCCGCTAAGAGTTGGTCCCAATTCCCAGTTCCTACATTTTTTCCCTTCCATACATCTGAAGTATTTGCACCCAAGCTATGACCTATCTTGGTGAGGTTAAGCTACTTTGTATGTTAATCAAATTATAAGGTCCTACTTTTCAGCATGCCAATGAATGCCCCTTTTTAGTGTATTCCTGTTTGGTTACGGAGGAAAAAAAATATCCATATTTACATATGCATAAGCCATATACCAGTGCTAAAACAAAAGAAAAGGGGAAGACAATGAAAGGATAAATAGAAATACCTGTATCCTCAGTCTCAGTGAACTGAGATCTCAAAGTAAAAGTAGATTCAAACTCTTCCTCTTCCTTTCTCTTCTTCTCCACTCCAAGCAGCATACTCCTCAACTTTCCAGGCGAAAATCCGCCGCCCCCGCCCTATACACTCCAAAATCACCACCAAATGAAACAAAAAAAGATCGCATGAAACACTTGGGTTTATTACTAAATAGTAAATACCTATACAAGCACGATTTCCTCTTCCAACTTGGTCGTTTCAGAGGGAAAAAATCAGAGAAACTATTGAGAAATAGGGGAGGTGAGATCGACAGATCAAAGGCCTGATTTCGCATATACTTGAACAAAACAAAAACAGAAAAGAGAGTGGAAAATGAAAGCTTGTCCTTTCCTTTCAAATATGACCCATCGGGAGAAGAGAAAGTGAAATTCTTCTTTTGCTTCCAAGTCCAGGAAAAGGGAGGAAAGATAGCGAGAGAAGCGCAAGTACCTGGGGCTTTTGGATTCTCTCGTAATCCATAGAAAGACGACTCTGGCTTTGCCTTTGCTTCTACTCAAAGCTCTGTTGCTATTTCACGGAAATTATTGCCCTGCAACTTTCACAACATTGTACAATGCCAGATCGCTTCACTATTGACATAACACATTTCCCTTTCCCCCCCTCTCTCTCTCTATCTCTCCGTCGCTCTCGCTCTCTATTTCCTGCTATCGTTTTGTATTGGTCTCTTCCATGGCAGTACAGCGAATGAAGTCATCTTCCCATCTCTACTGCTGACAGCAATAGGTCCAGTTGAATCATGGAAGTTCATAGCATACGAGGCAACAAGTTATGGAACAGTATCGCATTGGATTCTACTTTTTTTTTTCCCCTTTAACTTTCTCTTTTGGTTTAAATCTGCTTCTAAGCCCGCTTATCTTACTAACCATGTTTTTTCTGTGAATTTTTAGAACCAACCAAAGGCATCATTTTCTTTTTTCTTTTTTCTTTTCTCATTTCCAGACAATGTCAGTTCTTTGACTGAAGCCAGTTAAAATGATCAAGTTACGGTGTCTTACACACACTGATATGACAGACAAATCAAGACTGTCCATCAATCAGAACAAAAGAATTATCAAACCGTTGCAAACGTAAATGCCCGTGCTGATATTGTCTTTTTCCAATTAGTTTGTCCACCAACCTGTTACGCTAGAAATACTCCCGCCGATTTTGGTTTTTTTTTTTTTTTTTTTTTACAATACTTTTTCGCCCATGTATATAAACTATTACATGGTTTTCTTAAGGTGATAAAAATTATTATATTATCAATTGTACTTTATTATTGACCGTTTGAGATTATTCAAAATTTGATTAATTTTAAAATCAAATAAGACAAAGTGGTTAGAATGGGCAATTCACAAATTCACATGCATACCAAGATTACTTGTATGAAAACACGAGTGTGTTCGATCCAAAAATTGCTGCATTCGTGCATGTTCTACTAGTAAGGCGCTGGTCCCCACGTGAGTTGGTCATTATTTTATCAGGTTACCGTGTAGGATTTGATGGTTCCCCAAGTACCCATGCTTTTTCTTTTTTTGTTTGGGTCATTTTTATTTTTATTTTTTTTAAATTTAATAAATATTTAAATATTTTATTAATAATATCACACTCAAAATATTAATTATAAAATAATCTTCTAAAAATACATACAAAAATTTTGTACCAATTCATACTTATAATGTTTTATTCAAAAATAAAATAACAATTATGAGCGAAAAATATTTAATTGTTGAAAATCTAATTTATTTAAAAATATTTGATTTAATTTAATTTATATTTTTTATTATCATATTAATCTTAATATGTACCATCAAAGCATAATTTATTTCATCTATCGATTGATATCTTACTCCAAATTTATTCGTACATTATGTTGAACGGTCAAATGATATTTTACAATTGTTAGTTTGAAATTTCTGTGCTCTTACATATTGTTGTGGTTTATTGTTATTTCATAAAACTTCTCAAAATTTATATCTTTTATTTTTTAATCTTATTTTTTAAATTTCTAAGTTTTTTGAATATTTGCTTTTTTCTTCTTCATAATTTTTTTATGATCAACAAAAATCTATTATATATCAAATTTTTTTGTTTCAAAACTTTTCTTCCAGCTTTAAAAAAAAAAGGTATAAACACCATTTTCGTTATGTCCAAATTTCAGAGTATAATTTTTTTATTCATTTGAAACAAAATATTCATGTAATAAAGAAAGAAAATTAAAAAGAATAAAAAATGGGTTTCCAAAAAACAAAATGCAAATGAGTGCATAAGAGAAAATTTTGGTGAAAATATTAAAAGTAAAAAAAAAAAAAAAGATAATATGTATGTATCAAACAAATAGATAAGAAAATAGAAATAATATAATACTTAGACACAAAGAAAAAAAAAAAAGAGAAATTAAATATAAAAGAAATGAAAAGAAAACAAAAAATTTTGAAAAAAAATTATAACTTTTATTTTTATTTCTATTTTTGGAAAATAAAAGTAAAAAATATATATAATTAAATTTTTTCCAAACATAAATTAAATATTATTTTTTTAAAAAAAATGTGAAAAGGAGGATATCTGGGCCCATAGTCGATGACAAGCTGCATGGGCTTTAACACCAACTTTTGAGTTTGGAGGACCAGGTTCTACACTCAGGTCCGGCCTTTTCTTTGATTTATCCTTATTTTTTGATTTTTTATTTAAAATTATTTTCAAACAATATTTTTTATCAGCCCAGATGGGTCGGTAATTTATAGAGCTTAACCCAATCTAAAATCAAATTAGGTTGACAACCATAGTCCAAATAATACCAATTTTTTAATTATTATGTTTAATAAAAAACTATTTAAATAAAACAAAATTCATAATTAATAAATAAAATAAATGTGTGGGGTCGCTATGCTAAAAGAACAATCAATAATATTTTGAATGTAACAAATTAGAAAAAGAAAGTGTTGGATAATGCACGTGAATAAATAATAATAATAATAATAATAATAATAATAATGTCGTCAAGCTGGCTTTTATTTCATTTAATGGGGTGGGATGTTTCCTCCAGAACATGGAGTAGCACGATCTTTGAACAAGCAAGAAATTTGTCCCATAAATACGATTTCTGGCGTCTTATGCCCACGCGCGCATCGTTTCACAGAGGTTTTTTGTTCGGCAGAACATTTGAAATTACTACTAGACCAGATTTCTATCCAATGTTTATAAATTAATTATACAATATATAAAGGATAACTAATTAATATTTTATTTTATTTTTATATTTAAAAATTTTAAGTAATTATTATATATATTATTAAAAGTATTTATATATAATTAATTTTTATATTTTAAAATTTAAATGAATAATATTTAAAATTTTAGTTAATGAATGTATCTTTCTCACATCCATTTGCCCTCGTATTATTGGAACAAAAATATCGTATTCATTGACACAGATCTTATTGTGTAACATCCCGTATAATTTAATGTTTAAATTTTTGGGATGTTTTATAAGAGTTCTTAGATAATTCATAGGCCTTATACAAATTTAAAAAAGTTTAGAGACTTTGTAAAAGTCCGAAATTTAAAAGAAAATAATTTATTATTTAAATGCAAAAGCAAATAATAAAATTAAAGTTTACATTATTTATACATTAATTTGAAATGTCTAATAGGATTACGAGAGTGTCTTTTTTAAATTGGTTCATAAAAAAAACGATAATTAAAAGCAAATAAATAGATATTATAGGGATTAACTTCCACTAGCACTTAAAGGGGATCCGATAGGTGAATTACTCACAACTCTATTACTGATCGAGATCTGAATCTTTATTTTATTGTTCTGAAATGGTTAATAAAATGGCGAGCAACACTAACCCAGTAAAAATATTACACTAATCACTGATACAAAAATTAAAAATTAGTAAAAATTACAAAACAACTAATGGAACCATTGATTTAAGTAAATACTTTTAATTTTAAAATATTTTATTTCATACTTACTGTTACGTA